CTCACAGCTCCAACAAGCCTTGACATCCCTCTGCTATGTCTGTCCTCATTTCAGTGAACTGCTGGAACTAATCTCAATCCTTAAAATTCCACTGAAAACTCTGGGTATCATGGGAGTTACCTGACACACTCTACTGTACTGTTCTTTGGTGAATCCAGAGAAGAAATATAAGGGAAGAAAGAAAAAGGAAAAGGAAGCATGAAGAGAACAAGACATGAAAAGCACAGAAAGGAACAGAGGACCCCACACACATTCCCATTCACCAGAGAGCAGTCAGGTCTCCAAAACCTACTCCACACAAGTTTGGATTTCCACTGATGATGCTAGTTCCATAAGCTTTCCCCTTAATGGTCCACCATGACTTAGAAAGGCAACCAACGTAAGGTTCTGTTTGATGCTTTTTCTTTTACAGTTACCGTAAGACAATGTTTTATATTTTTTCTTTTAAACTATTGTGGATAGAAGAGAAAAAAGTAATCACAGCCCACAAATGAGGCATCCTGACTCCTACAAGACTGCTCACTTTTCCCTTCCTCTTTTCTATGATTTACAAAGACTAATAAGACTTCTATAATCTCCCATCGTCGTGAAGTTTTTTGTTTGAAAAGCTTTAAAGATCCCTACTGTCTACAGAAAAAAATACACAGACACCATATTCAGACTCCTAAATAATCTGGTGTTGATCTATGTTTCTAATCTCATTATTGGGTAGGACAGATTTTTTTTTTCACATTAAGGTTGCTTGATCACAAGATAAAGCCTGGTATATTGTATAGAACAGGGAATGAACACAGGAAATGGGTAGGTTGTGAAGGGGAGCTGAAGGGGAAAAGCCTAAAGTCCAAGAAATACAGGCCTGTCTGCTATCTAGCCCCCAAACAGCTTGAAAGAGTACCAAATGATGATAAATATGTGAACTGTAAAAAGAAAATTGGCAAAAGTAGGCTCTTTCTGTTTTAATCATTCCAGAATCAGCTCAGGCCCCAGACTTCAACTTTCGAGAATCTGGGTACATCCCAGTGGTAATGACTCACTACTATGATTCATACGATGGCAGAAAATGAAGAAGTGCAGGGATATGGACAGCCCAGAGGTTCTCTGCAGAACCACAAAAAGAATTTAAATAAAATTCAATAAGTAAACAATACATTCTTTAAGGAAAAGAAGTGTTAATATGTAACATGATTAGAGAACCTGTGACGATGTGAAGAGTGTCCCCGATCTTTGAAGGTCTCTTACCAAAGATACTGAGAAGATGAGTCAAACAATGGGGAGAAGATGACAGAAGGAGGTAGATAAGAACATCGTCAAAATTCATGCTTAAACGGAGACATTTACCCTTGGCTGCTATCACCAAGCTTTCCAATTACAGTTTTGCAGTCTTTCACGGAAACAATCGTATTTTAAATATTAAGTGGTGGTATTAAAAACCAGAATTGTCAAAGGAGGGAGGATTCAACATAAAACACGTATCAGTGTTATATGTGATTAATCTCAGAATGATTTTTATCTGTAATCCTGAATACCCCTGACGCTTTCTGGACAGCAGGCAGAATTTCTGACAGATCACAGAATGGAACTGAAGAAGGACAGTTGTTAGTTGCCTGTCAGGCAACTGGTGAGCTGAACACTTTCCCCCTCTAACCCAGGAAAGAAATTTGGTCCTCGTTTTTCTCCGTGACATCACTGAACACAGAAAGTGGGCTTCCAACTAGAAAGTACTGTCTTGACTATAATCTATTAACCTCTCTCCTTTCAATCAGTGAGGTATTTTATTATTTTTTTTAAAAGATTCTATTTACTTATTTGAGACAGAGAGTGCATGTGAGCATGAGTTGAGGGGGGCAGAGGGAGAGGCAGAAGCAGGCTCCCCACTGAGCAGGGAGCCTGACATGGGGCTCGATACCAGAACCCTGGGATCATGACCTGAGCAGAAGGTAGACACTTAGCTAACTGAGACACTCAGGTGCCCAATCAATGAGGTGTTCTAAAGTTATATATTCAGAAATATTTACAATCATGTAAGAATAAGTGACATAAGGAGAGATAATAACTAGCCTAACCAAAATAAACCCACCAATAACTAAATAAAATAAAGCTGAGGCTGGCAGCTTTCCAGAAAACCATGAGTAAAGTTTGTGGTTTCTATGACAGCAGATACACATGACTTATGTTTTACACAAATGTCTTTAAAAAAAAAAAAGGCTCTTTCTCTTAATAAACACTTAACTGCCAGATTGAAATAAAATCACTTCCTTAACACACACAGTATGTCAGGAGAATTATTGATTTCAATGCTGAAAGGTGAAATTTCATTAGCAGGTTTCCTAACATTCTTCCAGAATGTTGAATGCCATCTGTGCATTTCTTCATGATAGTAAGAATTATTTTCTTTTTAGTATTTTATTTAGCATAAAAAAAAGGGAAGTCACTTGATTTATATGGGAAGAGGAGAGGAGAAGTCACGTTGAGCAACAGACATCTGGCTGTGGCTTTGTGGATCTCAGAATTTAATTCTACAATCAGTAGTGTGTAAAACAAATATTTACAAATAATTTTAATTCCCTCTTTTATAATTATCCTTATCTAAAGTGTACTATATTAAATATTTCATAATAAGAACATGGCTTTCTGGAAAAAGTCAGAAATAAAATATTCATTAAATTCATAACTAGCACCAACATTAGAGCATAAAGGAAAACTGGCTATGATTATCCTGATATTAATCATTGTAAATATATGTAGTATCATCTAATTGTGGTGGAATAATAATGAAAAGTAAAAGTGATATGAAAATTTATCAGATTTGTGTTCATGGTAGGTCAACACTGGCTGAATTAATCACTATAAAAAGTGAAATCTCAGTTGACTCAGAAGAATTCATTAATGGGGGATTATTTAAGTGCTAAACTTTGGGAATTACATTCCAAATACTGAGCAATTTTACTTACTCTCCTAAACAAGAGTTTTTTATGTTAAAAATTTGTTATTGTGGAGCCTGGGTGGCTGAGTCAGTTAAGGGTCTGACTCTTGATTTCTGCTCAGGTCATGATCTCAGGGTTGTGAAATCAAGGCCCATGCTTAAAAGTCTCTCTCTCCCTCTCCTTCTGCCCTACCCTCACTTCTTTCTTAAAAAAAAAAAAAAAAAAAAAAAAATTCCAACAATTCCATATACATCATCCAGTGCTCATTACAAGACATTGGTTAACTATATTGGAATTAAAATAAAAACGTAATTGAAAAAAAAAAGCAAAAAAATGAAATTTAAACAAGTATCTACCACCTGTTAAGCATGTGTACTGGAAAAGACTACACCACAACATGAATATTTTAGATTTTAAAAAGACTACAAAGAGATGACAATAAGGCAACATCCAATTCTAGAGCTCTGAATGTCACAAAATTAAACTTTCTACAGTGATAGCAAGCATCTAATTTAAAACCAGAAGTCTGAGAACAATAGAGAAATAAAATGAGATGTCTTAAAACAAATGTCACATAATGAGTTATTAAAGAAGAGTTTGGGTAATAAGAGCCAATCAATCAATAGTAAACTAACACAATGAAATGGAATATAGTCTGGTACTTCTCAAATTCTTAAGTGCTTTAGGAAAATATCCAAAAACAGGGCTCAAGACCATTCACTGCTAAGAGAAACACAGTGTATTATGAAAGAAATGGTGGGTTGTCATGACACTTACATTGTGAGAGCAATAGGCTATCTATCTATTGTTTGCAGGCTGGCGGAGTAGCTGTTAATCAAGCTGGCAGTTTCAAGTGGGAGCAGATCAGGCCGAGGAGAGCCTGGTGATCTTGCCCCACAGACAGAATCTGACCTCACAGTCACCAAGTCACTATAAAGTCTTAGGAGCACCAAGTGGCTTGGATAGTTTAAAGACCACATAATGGAGGTCAGTGCTGTGGTCTTAAAGGCCTGGGTATCGGAGATGGATTTCGATGGAGGGAAAAACAAAGTGATTTCAACTTTCAAAATGTGGGCTGGCAGTTTGGGGAACAAAGGACTAAACTGTATATGAAAAGAATGAACATAGAAAAGAAATGATACAGAGCACATAAATGAGGGAGAGAAATGAGCAGCCCTAACATAATGACACAGGGGCCCCAATCCCACTCACCAGAGCAGACAAGAATAAATCATGATAACTTACTGACAATTCCTGTAGGAGAGGGCATGGTTATTTCCAAATCCTTCCCCTGCGATGTTATATACACCATAATGAATCCTTTCTGCAATTCTCTTAGTCTCTCCCAAGAAAGAAATTAAAACTGTATTCCATATACATAACTATAAACTTATTTTTATACAAATTTGGGAGTGCAAATTTAAGTCATAAATGAAAGATAAAGCCCAACTTCATGTTCTAGATGTCTTTTTAAATATCTCATAAACTGATCAGAGTTTAACACAAATGCTTAAGAAAATGAAATGAATTAAATTAAATTTAAAAGAGTGGAAGGGGGATGAGTGAGATGAAGGCATTTTTGCACGTGGGTGAGGACACGACCTGATCCTTGAGTTCATCCCTGCTGCCTGCCCTGGCTGCGTACCCCGATGATTCTCCTGCCAGTTCCAGCCCACCTGACTTTCCATTTCACCTTATTTTTCCCTCTGCATGACAATGTCTCCTTATAAAACAACCAGAACATCTCTTGCTATTTTTAGTAAATCCAACTTCATTTTTTTGGTCTTTTTCCTACTAGGAGTTCGACTCATTAAGGTAATTTTTAAAAACACTAACAAAAAACTCAGCTAAAACTTTCATCAAAATTACCTTGAAAACTGAGACAAACTGCCCCTCATCTCAACTGCTTGTATAACTGTCCCCTTTGCATTAATAAGGGAGCAGCACAGAGATGGAACTGACATGGTTAAAAGAAAGTTGGAGACAACTGAATGTGAGCCATAATCCAAACATGACATTTTTCCTAAAGTTGCTTCAGAAAAGAGAAAGAGTAGGGGGAAGGGAAATCACACTTACAAGTCCACTTATGGCTACAATCCAGATGTAGGAACCAGAGGTGAAAAGCTACAAAAGAAAAAAAAGGCAACTAGAAATGAAATTGAACCGCCAGTTACAGCATACTTTTGTTTTTACATAATTACGGTGATAATCATTGAAGTATTATTCAAATGTCTCTTAATATAAACAAGTAGAAAATTAATAAACATCAATTCTGTCATCCAAAAGAAAATGATATATTATTATTATTTTCTTTTTTTTAACCAAGCTCTCAGCTTTTCCATAGCCTAAAACAGACTAACTAAACCTGGCCTACTCCCACACAAAGAAAAATAAGTGAAATTCAAGCAGATTCTTCTTTACAAATGGACATTAATTGATTTAAATCAAATGAAATACCACATACAAAGAAATTATTACAATCAAGAACATACAAAATACGTAGTCACATCCCATGCTTGGTGTTGAATAATGACAAGTAATATTAGTTTACATTATTCTCTCATTTTAATTTCTTATCACTGCAACTCCAAATTTAGATGAGCAGACTTCTGCAAGCATGTGGGCCACTGTTGTAACTCTCAGAGAAGTGCAAACTAAGTAGTGATATCAAAGTTAATTAATGTAGAAGTAATTAGAATTAGGTTTCATAAAAATCTCGCTCTTTGTTTTCTAGTTATTCACATAGGAGAGTTGTGCTTAGGGTAAAAAAAAAAAAAAAAAAAAAAAAAAGTTATAGAGATTTAAAGTGTTCCTGAAAGAAAAAAAAAAGATCTAGAGCCTACTGTTTGTTCATATTCAGATTGAGAGTATAAGAACTTCTGCCTCTAGAGAAAGCAGCAGAACCAGGGGTTAACTGCAGACACTATGCTAGATGAAAACCTCAAAGTTCTGCACATCTATCAAGGATACATTAAAAAAAAAAATCCATAAAAGGCAGATTCAAAGGAAAGAGATAACAAAGCACAGTAAAAAGGAGGCTGGCAGATTTTGTTTCTAGTGCTACCTCAGACAGAAAAGAGCACCAGTTGCAAATTTAAATTTAATCCCTTGATCTAAAACTTAATCCTTAAAAATGAATAAAACTTAATCCTTTTATCTAATATGGGTGTAGCAGAGTGTTAACGATTCTGAAAATAACAAGGATAAGACTATGTGGAAAAATATTTTTCTGTAGTCTTATTCTAAAAATAATAAAATACTAATGCTTTCTTCTTTGCTGTTCTGTTTTTTGTTTTCAGCTAACACTTTCCACAGCACTTACTATGTGCCAAGCAGGGATCTTAACACTTTTCATATATGGAACTTACGGAAGCCTTCTAATCATCCTACAAAGTAAGTTCTATTAAGAACTCTATTTTAATCATAAAAACTGAAAGGTTAAGGAATTTGCTCAAGGTCAGACAGCTGGTGGGTAATGGAACTGGGAGCGTACTCAAGTTGTCTGGCTCCACAGCATAGTGCTCATGACGTCTATGTTTTATACACAAGTAGGAAGAGCACATCATTAATTTCATCAACAAAAAATTATTTTCTTTGTACTCTTAAGTGCCTCATCCTATTGTATGTCTGGTCTCAATTGCGTCTGCTCATGTTTTAACAGTGTGCATGTTTTTTCTCACTACTGGGCTCTTTGAGAATAGGTGCTATGTCTCATCATTTTATCTTCCACAGTCTCTAGTACAGGGCATTACATGACTGGTTCTCAAGCCATCTGATACCTTCTCATATATTTTTGTTTTTCTGATGATGATTAAAATCATTCAGTCATTTAGTCATTCCCTCATTCATTCATCCACCCAATGTCCCTGGATTCAAAAAGCTGTTTTGTGGGAGATAGCACAGAAACACGTGTGAAGGTCCAAGGAGGCGGGAGATAGGGAAAGAATAGAAACTTTGAGAATATAGGGTTCACATTCACTTCAAGGTGGGGAGGGGCAGGCAAAAAGAACCTTGGATGCCATTCATGCTAAGGACTAGATGTTATTGAGAAGCCAATGAGGCATCTCCACATCCACTTTCTGATACCAACTTCTATGAAAGAAAAAAGAAAAGAAAAAAAGAGAGAGAGAGAGAGAAAGAAAAAAGAAAGAAGGGACATTCACAATCTCAGAAAAACCAATAGTGGCAGCTCTAGAGACATAAATTATTAATTAATAATAGTAACCAATCGACTTAGTTCTGTATGGATTATTTTATTTTTTGTTTGGATTATTTTAAACAACCAATACTATTATCTCTAATCCTTCAAGTGACCTCATAAAACAGACATTATTATTACTACTCTACAGGTGGGCAAATGGGACCTCACAAAAGTGACAAAGCAAATAATCAAACCAAAGTCCACTTGGCTCTAAAGACCTTCCACAATGCTCCACTGAATTCCTATGTCATAATTAATAAAACAACACTTGTCATCCCTCTCGAGCTCTATAACTCTAGAGTTGGAAGAACTATAGCGTCAACATGAGGTTCAGAGCCCTTCCATAACTTGGCCCCAAGTCTCAGGCTAGTGGGTGCCATGCTAGAACTAGAACATGGCTGTCCTGCTCCTGGTCCAGAGAACTCTTCCACCACTGCATTCTGCCTTCTGCTGTAACATCTTTTAAAAAAGTCCACGTGTCACAGCAAATCCTAGTAATAAGAATAAACTGCAAAAAAGGGCTATTAGGTGATATGAACACTAGGAAGGATAAAGGAGAGTTAACAGCATGCTGGTTGAAAGATGAAGAATAAACATTTCATGAGAAACAGTTGTAAAAGTGGCGAGGAAACACCCACCCCAGATGAGCCACTGATAACACCTGATAGCACACCAGACAAGTTGGAGGAAACACCAAAGGTTAAAAGGGGAGGGAGGAGGACATTTGACAGAGATACTAGTATCCGGTTTGATATGTGTGGGATAAGGAATGTTATGAGTATTGACAGTGGATCAAAAGGCCAAGCTACAGATGGTACCACAGGAAACAGAAGAATAAAAGTTCACATCAAAAGCTCTGAGAGTGAAAGAAAAGTGAAGAGTAGTACAGGTAGAAAATGAAAATCGTGTATCTTCTGTCACTTGGCCTGAAACCCAGCAGAGATAGGTCAATGGCACTAGATATTGGTGAACATAACCTTTTTCAATTTAAATCAAACAGTAAGAACTCTTAATGGTCCTCATATCAAACCATTTAGCAAATGGTGACAGTGCCATCATGCCTATGCAGCACATGCTATAAGGTATAAAGTGGGTAAGGCATATCTGGTTTTTTCTTTAGAACTTTATTTGGGACACTGTACTCAATAATTTAATTTTGACAGTGATTTTCCACTTTCTACCTTTTGGTTATTCTCCTTTGTTTCTACTTCATACTGTGATTTTTAAAAAGAACTTACACAGAATTGTACAATGCAATTAAAATATTTTCCACTGATACAAATTACAGTGAAAGCTCTTATCAGATTTCTAAAGACTATGAAAGTATTCTAGTACTTTATATACCTTGATGTTCTTGTTCTGTAACACTTCCTTTGAACATTTGATATAGATCATAAAGCCAAACTTATGGGAAAAAAAAGCCATTGTTTTCAAGGAGATCAAATGAGAAAAAGACACCCTCCCCCCGAAAAGATCTGATTAAAGAAATGTGAACATAAAAATGCATACTGTACCTGTAGTCCCAATATATAAATCAATGTCTTGTTTGTGATGGACAACGGGCCCAGAATTTGTGCCACTTGGATTCTTGGTATGGAGCAGTAAAATGGTACAAACAGAGCAAACACAGGTGCCAGGCTATGCAAACAAACAAACAAACAAAATCACTATAGTATAATACTCAATTTAAAATACCACGAACAAATACATATCTGAAGTAACACTGCTTATAATTTTGTTTCTGTCTAAAAACATGGTCTCTGATATACAAGTTGGGTTTCTATACATGCATCACATTGGAAATAACTTGTACTTATAACATTTTATGAAAACTCGAATTATCTAATAATTCCCCCCCCCTTTTTAAATATTTTATTTATTTATTCATGAGAGACACAGAGAGAGAGAGAGGCGCAGACACAGTCAGAAGGAGAAGCAGGCTCCACTCAGGGAGCCCGATGTGGGATTTGATCCGGGGTCTCCAGGATCACACCTGGGCTGAAGGCGTTGCTAAACCGCTGAGCCACCCAGACTGCCCCTCTAACAATTCTCCTAAAACTATTGCAAAGTGGTTCAGCATCTACTAATTAATTGTCGGGCACTGTGGGAAAATTTAAAGTTGCTGCTATGTTTTCTTCCCATGAATGACTTAAATCTAATGAAAGAGACTGTACAAAAGTGACAAACATAATCCATCACAGTCATATCTCAAAGGCTCATCTCACATTGTAGCACTTGACACCCTTACCACTCCTGCCTTCCCTCTCTCAAACCCCTTTTTCCTTCTGCCTTAAAACCTGTTCTTGCTAAGTTTCCCAGATTTCTCCTGCCACTCTTCTATTCTCTCTATGGTTCCATGATACCCTCTTCTTCTTGCTCCAGTCCCTCTTTGTTTCATGGCAAGCCCTTCCCTGGCACTGATTACGAAAATGAAGTGGACCCACCAACTGTCTGCCTGTCCCTCCTCTTGCTTATGAAACTCAATTTGATACCTGCAACTTGACATATTCAAAAGTCACAAATGTCTTTCTAAACAAAGTCATTTCTTTTTAATCCATCTTTTAACACTGTTGACACACAAACCACAACTCTGATCACATCACATGCCTGTTTAAACTCATCCTTCTACAGGCTCCTGGTATCCAAAGAAGAAATATAAATATTAGTATGGAATAGCAAAGGCCTCCAATTCTTTCTTATTAGTGTAATTTCGCACACCTGGCCTCCTCTCCCTTCCCCTGATCTAGCTCCACCCCCCCCCCCCATCTTAACTCCCCCAGAGATGCTCCCTGGGCACATTAGGCTTTTCTAAGTATTCACTGACACAAGTAATACTTCCAGAATAAATGTCCTTCTCACTTTTCTGCTAACACCCATGGTGTAGGACAGCTCAATTCTTTCCCACAGGGATTACTCCAACTCCTCTCGTGGCCAGAAGCTCCCTTCTTCACCCTACTGCTACTTCACTTTTACTGTTTCAGTGAAACAGTAAATCAATCACCTGGGCACTGTGCGAGAGGCGGTAGCCCAGATACAGGAGCTCCAGCTATATCTGTGAGTAAGGAGCAGTCTCTAATGCCAAGAAACTAGCTCCAGGACTGCACACTCACATTCCTGCCAGGAGTAGGCAAGCAACACGAATGAGGAGAGTGGTCTGGACACACATTTGCACCAATTCTTTTATCAGGCACTTGGCTTCATGACTCAATCCTTTATTTTCCCTTTACTTTTTTGTTGAGTGGCACTAGTACATCTTTACCATGAGAAAAATACAAGAAATATCCTTTCTCCATTTTTGTGGAAACACAGGACCCTCTTGTGCAAAGTTTTCTCTTCTTTGATAGAGATCATGTTATTAAAAAAAATCACTTTAAACATACACTTTAGTTTTGTTTTTAGAAGCAGAATTGAGAGGATAAGGAGTGATTTTTTTTAATAACATGAAAAATGGCAGCAGCATCAATAGGCATCTATAAGAATGCATCAAGTGCCAGAACAGGGAAAACCCCAAGTAGCAAACACCTAAGTGCTAGACACTGGGTAACAAGGGGAGATACAGATGTGTAAGATGCAACCTTTCTCAGTCTTACAAGAAGGATGACAAGGGTAGGGCAGCTGAGGTATGTACATAGCACAGCACATTAGTCTCAAGTGTCTCCCTCATCTGGCCATCCTCCTAGGGAAGGAGGGAATGCACCCTCTCAGACCCTCCAGCATGCACCACAGTACTTGGCACAGCACAGGAGGCTCATTCAATTTAGGGCAATAAACTATTCCTTATTCTTGAAGAGTTGTATGATCAGATTTTTTTTTCAAAATATGATAGTACTTATGAGTATAGCCTAGTAGCTATAATTCTAATCTTTTTGTTACTCATTTATTTTTAATTGAAGTATTAACACATAAGTGTTATATTAGTTCCAACTGTGCAATATAGTGATTTAACACTTCTGTACATTACTCAGTGCTCATCGCAATAAATGTACTCTTTTTTTTCTTCTAGGATAGGGTTAGGTTTGAGGTTAGAGTTAAGGTATATGTTTGGTATCCTATAGTTCAGAGACCTCTCCAGAGGATTAGGGTTAGTATTAGTATTAGGGATAGGGTTAGGGGCAGGGCTTAGGGTTTAGGGGATGTGCCTCATATCTAGCAGTTTGGAAACCTCTCCAGAGGCTTATGATTAGGATTAGTAGTATGGTTAGGGTCAGGGGTTTGAGGTTAGTGGTTAGGGTTGTGCCTAGTACCCTACAGCAATTCAGAGACCTCTCCAGACAATAAACTAGACTCTGCTGGGGTGACAACAGACATAGAAGCCATCTACCAATCTGAGGCAAGGAGGTGATTTGGTGCTCTAAATGTTCTTTATTTAAATAGATATTTGGCTAGTCCTTCCATTTTTATCTCTACCTTCACACACAATAAATATACTCTTAATCGTCTTACCTATTTCCACCCATCTCTACACCCATCTCCCCTATGGCAACCACCAGTTTGTTCCCTTGTATTTGACTCTCTTTTTCATGTCTTTTCTTTTCTTTGTTCATTTGTTTCTTTAATTCCACATATGAATAAATCCATATGGTATTTGTTTTTCTCTGACTTATTTCACTTAGCATTATATCCTATAGGTCCATCCATGTTGTTGCAAATGGCAAGAACTCATTCTTTTTTTTTTTTATGGCTAATATTCCAGAGAGTGTGTGTGTACAGGTGTATGCAACATCCTTATCCATTCATCTATCAATGGGCACTTGAGTTGCTTCCATATTTTGGCTATTACAAATACTGCTGCAATAAACACGGGTGCATTTATCTTCTTGAATAAGTGTCTTCATTTTCTTTGGGTAAGTACTCAGCAGTGGAATTAATAGATCATAGTAATTCTATTTTTAATTTTTTAGGGAACCTCCATACTGTTTTCCACAGTGGCTGTACCAATTTGCATTCCTACCAACAGTGCACAAGGATTCTTCTTTTTCCTCCACATCCTTTTTTTTTTTTTAAGATTTTATTTATTTATTCATGGAGGACACACAGAGAGAGAGAGACAGAGACACAGGCAGAGGGAGAAGCAGGCTCCCTGCAAGGAGCCCAACGTGGGACTCGATCCTGGGTCTCCAAGAATCACATCCTGGGCTGAAGGCGGCTCTAAACCGCTGAGCCATCTAGGCTGCCCTTTTCCTCCACATCCTTGCCAACACTTGTTATGTCTTAGCTTCCTGATTGTAGTCATTCTGATAGATGTAAAATGATATCCCATTGTGGTTTTGGTTTGCGTATCCCTGACAAACGAGCATCTTTCCTCAGTGTCTGTTGGTTATCTATATGTCTTCTTTGAAAAAAATGTATGTTCAGACCCTCTATCCACTTTTTAATCAAATTATTTGTGGGGTTTTTTTGGTGTTGTGTTGTAGAAGTTCTTTGTATTTTTTGGATATTAATCCCTTAGCAGATAAATCATTTGCAATATCTTCTCCCATCCAGTAGGCTGCCCTGTCATTTTGTTGATGGTTTCCTTCATTTTATTTTGGTGTAGTCTCAATAGTTTATTTTTGCTTTTGTTTCCCTATCTTGAAGAGATATATCTAGAAAAATGTTTCTACAGCCAATGTCAAAGAGATTACTGCCTATGTCCTCTTCTAGGAGTTTTATAGTTTCAGGTCACACCTATAGGTCTAATCCATTTTGAGTTTATTTTTATGATCCCCTTTTAGTTAACTATATACAGTTTTTAAAAGTCTCCGATTAGAAGGGCACCTGGGTGGCTCAGTTCGTTGACCCTCCAACACGTGATTTCGGCTCAGATTATAATCTTATGGGTCATGAGACTGAGCCCCATGTAGGGCTCTGTGCTGAGCAAGGAGTCTGCTTGAGGTTCTCTCCCTCTGCTCCTCCCTCAACTCACGCGTGTGGATGATCTCTCTCTCTCTCTCTCAAATAAATAAATAAATAAATCTTTTTTTTAAAAGTCTCCCATTAGATTGTTAATTGTCAGAAAGCTCAATATTTTATTTGGCATTGCATCCCCTGATACTATTTAAATCCTTACATATAATTTACTCTCAATATTTGATTGTAAAAAAACTGACAAAGCAATTTTAATGAAGAGAGAGTTATATAAGCTGCCATTCTATGGATAAAGAGGTTTTATATATATATATATATTACTCAGCCATGAGAAAAAATGAAATCTTGCCATTTGCAACGATGTGGATAAAACTAGAGAGTATTATGCTAAGTGAAATAAGTCAATCACAGAAAGACGATTTATCATATGATTTTACTCATATTTAAGAAACAAAACAGGACAATAGGAGAAGGGAGGGAAAAACAAAACAAGATGAAATCAGAGAGCGAGACAAATCATAAGAGACTCTTAATCCTAGGAGACAAACTAAGGGTCATTGGAGGGCAGGAGGGATAGGGTGGGAGGAATGATATTCAGGAGGGCATGTGAAGTAATGAGCACTGGATGTTATATGCAACAGAAGAATCACTGAACTCTACCTCTGAAACTAATAATATACTATATGTTAACTGAATTGAAATAAGAAAAACCCTGCCATTCTAAATACCACATAAGAGAACACTTTTGTTATATTTTAACTTAGCTAAACTCAAAGTAGCTTTCCATTAAACCTACAAGGCCCTGCATGCCGGACCCTGAACTCTCCCTGCCACTTGCTGTGGCTGCTCCCTCCACGCTGGGCCAGTGCGTGTCTCACTCTAGCCCCAGCAGGCATGTGGTGCCCCCGGGCATGTCCACCTCCTGGCTACCTTCCCAGGACGTGTACCATTTACTCCCTCATACCCTTCTGCTCTTTCCTTACATAGCTCCTTCTTGGCCTCCTCATTCCACAGTGCAACCCCTAGGCCACCTCACAGACCCAACCCCACTCAGAATTCTCTATTTCCTTTTCCCATAGTACCTATAACCTTCTAATCCACTACATGACTTATCATCTGTTTCTCTGACTGAAGGGAAACTCCATGGAGCCTGAGATTTCTGTTGGTTTTGTTTGCTGCTTTATCACTGCTCTCTAAAACGATGCCTGACACAGAGCGGTGCTTAAAAAATACTTGCTGAACAAATAAATTTCTCTTTAAAGTGGCAAACTACACAGTTTCATATACATACTCAAAATATGGCCTTCTCCTCTCCTGATAATAATAATAAAACTCTATTTTGGTTGCACTTGAGAGATCTCACACCAGGACAGGTTTTTTGAGGTACTTAATTTATAGAAGTTCTTTTGTTTATATTTAGCAACACAGTGTAAAGGATGATGTTACAATAGAGAATTGGAGGCCATGTTCCTGTTTGAGGTTACATTTCAATGTGAACTAAGAAAAATCCTGACAGGAATTTTAATGACCACAGTTCATGTCTTATACACCAATAAAAGAAGTTTAAAAATTCCTTAGAAGTTATTAATCACTGTGTAGTTTTAAATGATGACTAAGTACTAGACCACATATACATACCCATAATACAAAAGCACACATTTCAGACCATGAACATACAGGTTGTTTTGTAGAAATTTCCGTTGCTATTTCTATACACACAGACTTCACAAAATATCATAATGTTATTAGTCACTGACCAGTTTTTCTCTTTTCCTTATTTTATGACACAACATCTGTTCTATTGTCAACAATAATTCAGTTTGACCCTTTTCAAGCTATGACTAGCTAACTTCTGAGAGCCCTACCGGGCTCAAGCATATGAAGCTGAAGTACAGAAAAAGGAAAGGAGGTTATAGTTCATTTTATCCTCCCTTCCTTCCACTAATATCACTAATATTTACTGAGTATCTACTATACACTCACAACAGTACTTGATAGAATACTAGAAAACATTCAGTTCAGATCACAAATGTCCATCGTATCTCTTCTAAGAAGAGGACACTGACTGAACTTTTATAGTACAGCAGAAGAAACCCTGGTAACTTTCAAAGACAATAGAAATAAGGCTTGTGGGCTCATGCAATTATCGCACACTATGCCCCACAGCATCTCACAGGACAATCACTCCATTCCCTTTTCTTTACATACTCGCCTTCTCTAATACCAAATAGGAGGTAGATCCAGTTTGCTAGAACATTTCCTTCAACTAGGTGAGTTTTTCATTATATAACAATGTTTTACCTAATAAAAGCTATTTCAAAAAAATAAAAATCAAAACACCCCACAAGGATGTTCTTTCAACAAATAGAGAAGCTTCTCAACAGTGTCTTCCTTGGGACGCCTGGGTGGCTCAGCGGTTGAGCACCTGCCTTCCACCCGGGGCATGATCCTGGAGTCCTGGGATCAAGTCCCACATCGGACTCCCTGAGTGGAGCCTGCTTCTCCCTCTGCCTGTGTCTCTGTCTCTCTCTCTCTCTCTCTCTGTGTGTCTCTCATGAATAAATAAATAAAATCTTTAAAAAAACAAAACAAAAAAACCCCAGAGTCTTCCTCAAGTATTCTTCAATACAAGTTTTAAATAACTCATCCTAGAATATATTTTATCATATTTATCCAGCAACCATAAAATCTCTTTATTTCCTAAGAATTTTTGCACTAGGAATTATCTTGGCGATCATTTACTTCAATACCTTTATTTTACAGACAGTGAGATGGAGGTCCAAAGAATTGTGTAAGTTGTTGCTCTTCTGTCTGACAGTGTTCCTTTATAGATCTTCAGCCTTTTAGAGCTTAGAAGAACCAAGTATGCTTCTAGATGGAAAGATATCACTGAGGGGCTGAAGCCCCTTGGCCATTTTGACAGATCCTAGAGTGGAAGGTCTGAAGTCAGAGTTACAAATTCCTACCAAATGATTCAATTCTTTCTATATCATTCCTGAAAACAGTCGACCAGTTTATATAGGCACCTAAATCAGAAACAGCCTATTCCATTTTTTTATGATCCTAACTTTTGGAGACTACCTTTATAATTTGATTTGAAAGCTGTCTCCAGTAACTTCCTCTACTGGCCTTCCTTCTATTCTCTAGAGTCAGGAAGATTGACATACACAACCTAAATTCTTTTCTGTGAGACAGTTTTCAAATACATGATGATGATCACTGCCCTGCCAAGCCTAAACATTCTCAGTTTATTAGATCATTTCTCCTAAGACTCAGGATCCAGACCCCTACCAGCATAGTCACACTAGTCATCTATATGCCCTTCATAAAATGCAGCACTCAGAGCTGATTGCGAATAGCCATATCAGTCCTGGGTAAGTGTAAATATCACCTCTCTCATTCTGACAACTATATGTCTATTCACTTAGCCTATATATAAATTGCACTGTGCTAGCCCTGTTACATAGTTGGTTTAAACTGAGCCAACTAGAACTATACGGTGAACACCATAGTCTCCATCCTATGCACAAAGTCTGGATTTTCAGCTATAAAATGTTGCCCTTTAACTCCTCCCTTGTCACTCCTGTGTCCATGCAGTCATAGATTGTGTCAGTTGGCCTCCTGCCTGAAAACATTGACTAGTCCTCGTACAATGCAAAAGCGCATCATTCCTACTCACCACAGAATCCTTTGCTTCTTTCTCATAGGTTGTTGAGATACAGAATGAGCAAACTACTTTCTGCAACAAGTTTCCAGGTAGACAGAATTATCATAGTCAACATTTCTAAAAAATATTTTATTTATTTATGAGAGAGAGAGAGAGAGAGAGAGAGAGAGAGAGAGGCAGAGACACAGGCAGAGGGAGAAGCAGGCTCCATGCAGGGAGCCCGATGTGGGACTCGATCCCAGGAATCCAAGATCATGCCCTGGGCCAAAGGCAGGCATCAAACCACTGAGCCACTCCACTGAGCCACCCAAGGACCCCCATTTTTTTTCTTTAAAAAATTTAAAAAATCACTTTTACACAGAATATGGATACAAAGTCATTAGTAATTGTTTTTTTTCTTTTTCTTTAAAACATTTAAAAACTCACACTTTTACACAGAATATGTATACAAAGTCATTAGTAATTGTTGGTTCTTTTTTTTTTTCTGGTTAAGGTTTATTGCTTAGTCTTCCCTTCAAAGAATTTTAATACTTAACTCTTTATTAAAAAAACTTACAAAGTTCCACAGATATTACCAAGGGGTTTTTGGATAATTATTCAAAAAAAAGTCACTAACAGAAAAATTTCACTTCCTACTTGAAAAAAAAGTGCTCACGCATATATGAGGTTAAGTGATCACTACACTATGCTCAGTCACAAGGTGACAGGAAAAAAAAGCCACCACCCATAAAAGGATGCCTGCATAATCTCTCTTAACAACATGCCAAAGTAAGCTACTTCAGTTGGGCAAACACTGCTACTCCATGGAGGCCCCAACAAGTCACTCAGAGGTAAGTACTACATACATATATATATATTTTTAACAAAGTCTTTTGTAAAATTTTAAAAGCCTACTTAAGGAAGGTATATAGGAATAGAATCTATTCAATGGCAACTATACATTTCTAACAAAAACTGTATAATTAATATAGTTTAGACTCTTTGATAACCGGCAGTTCTAATTAGCTAATATTGAGGTCGGTGAGAATAATGGATCATGCCAAAAATCTATGCTCAAAAAAAAAAAAAAGGGTTTACTTTGTACTTCTGTGTGAACTCAAAATTGCAAAAAAACAGTATCCACTATAAATTAGTAAATAATGCCAATATTTCAGGATACTTTAGTATGAAAGGAAAGGAACAAAGTTGTTTTTAATTTTTTAATTTTTTAAAATTTTATATTTTATGTATTCATGAGAGACATAGAGAGAGAGAGAAGCAGAGACACAGGCAGAGGGAGAAGCAGGCTCCATGCAGGGAGCCTGATATGGGACTTGATCTTGGGACTCGATCCTGGGACTCCAGGATCACGCCCTGGGTCGAAGGCAGGGGCTAAACCACTGAGCCATACAGGTGTCCCACAAAGTTATTCTAAAATGGAATATTCCTATACTTAAATGCATGTGTATACCAATTATTCAGCACAATTTAAAATAAAAGAGTCATTACATTCTACTATTTGACCATATATCTATGTATATAAAGGTCTTTTCTATATCTCTATTACTTCTATACTTTCTAGCATTTCTCTGGAGAGAATCCCAGTACTAGAATTCCTTGGGCAAAGGTATAAATGTTTTTAAAGCTTCATATATAAATTGATATTTTTTGGTTTACAAAACATTTTAGCAATTTACCCTTCCACTAATGACAGTTTGAGCTTTACTGCTTCTCAGCTAACCTGAGTATTTTAATTATAAATATAAACTGTTAATTTGATAAGTGAAAAATAAACCCATTGCTTGCTTTATATTTATTTGATGATCACAAAAGCTACACGTCTATTTTCTCTAGAATTTCATGTGCCTAAAATAATGTCATAAAACAATAAGGTATATGCAATGATTTGCAATATTTATGTCCAGGTTAGGAATGGAAGTAATAGAAATTTTTGGCAAAATATAAGCTGTGAGGAGACTTCCTCTAAAGGAAGGGGGGGGGAGGATGTCCTGGCGGGTATCACTCGAAGTACAACACAGTGCAGTGGTTCAGAGCATGGGGTCTGTAGTCAGGCTTGAACTTGGGCTTGATTATTTCTAGGCTGTGTGGCCTAGGGCAGTCTCTGACTTCAGTTGCTTCATTTGTAAAATGGGGAGTAGTAATACAGCTAAGTCCTTGTCACCCTGGCCATCACATAGTATATGCTAGAAAACTGCTATCATCATTCCCCCTTCCCTCTACCCATTAAACTACCAAAGGATGAATCCAATAGGCAGTTTCCTTGCCCTATTATTTTGTGAGAGTTATTTTTCTTAAACTTATTTGCAGATCTTTATAGAATATTTTACATAAAGATTGGGTCTGTGGAGGGTAAACATCTCACTGTGCTCACCGTCTGGACTCTGCATCTGCTAATATTTCAGTACATGCTTTTTCTCCGGGGCTTAATTGTACTTTTGGGACATAACACAGCAAAGAGCACACTGCTGCACAAAGCCTCCTCACTCACTGGCTCACCGTCTACCATGTGGCGATGGTGCTGGTAATGCCTCTTCTAAGTTACTTTCAATTGGCTTCCAAGAGCTTATTAGTAATACGACCAGTCATTTACCAGAATAAACACCACCTCAGGTCACTATATGACTTTCCTTCACTTAAGTAACCCATAGGCATTTATTAGCTATCTATTGTGGGATGGTTCTGAAACACTCTACGGGATAAGAGAAAGCCATCGTCCTTTTAAGGATGAGCGGTTAAAAGGAAAAGCTTCCCATCCAGCAGAGGAGTTTAGAAGTGAGGCTTCTCCCCCTGCTGTGAGTAAGGGCCTGCTGCAGCTGTTCAAGGCCACAGAGTACAGAGCATGCTGAGGGTGTGTAAGCCCCTCCAGCCCACAGAACTCCTCAGCTTTTCAAGAACTCTGTAAAGTACAGGGTTTCAATGTCAGATGAGATAATACACATGAAAATCATCTGGAAACTGTAGAGTTAACATGTCTTGAAAGCTCAAAGAGAAGAATAAAAATATTGTGTTAAATGTCTGCAAATACCTAAATAAGTAGTATAAAAATAATAATAGCATAAAAGCTATCCTGGGGGTGCCTGGTGGCTCAGTTGGTTAAGTGTCTTCCTTGGGCTCAGGGGTCCTGGGATCAGCCCCTGCTCAGCAGAGAGTCTATTTCTCCCTCTCTGCCCTCCCCCTGCTCATGCTTGCTTTCTCTCTCTCGAATAAATAAAATCTTTTTAAAAAATAAAAAATGAAAGAAGCTATCCTTGGTATTTACCATCTTCTTTCAGTCCAAATTGTTTTATGGAAATATTATTAAAAATAGTAAAATCTAAATTCATTTATAAAACCATTACTTGCTTTAAAATATGTTTCAAGTAAATTAATGAATGCCTTCGTTTAAATCAATATATTCCCTTCTTCTCCTCCCTTCCTCCATCTCCCCAGCTCTCCTCTTCTTTCTAGTTCAGACAAGATAAGTTGGTATGTGTTAAAGTTTTGAAAAATCGTCCTCTTTTTACCTGTTTTCTACCAATAACACCAGATCATGTTGGAAACAGGAGCTAGGGATAAAACACTGCACCGAATGTGATTTCTGGAGTCAAACTGCCAGGATTGAATCCTGACACCTAACAGCTGTGTCTTTAGACACGTCATGTAAAGGCTCTGTGCCTCAGTTTCACCACTGGAATGGGTGTGTGAAAATTCTGTGATGATTCAGTGAGTGAATAAATATGGAGTACCCAGAACAGGACACATGATTGGGCCTCAGTCCTGGGTCAGCTGGAGATATACAAGATTCACAGTTCTTACTCAAAGGATTGCACTGGCTAGTGGGAAACAGAAAAATAAACCTAAAAACATTGATGCTAATACAGAGCACAGTGTCCTCACAAGGATATTCCATGCTGCTTTTCTTGAGGGGTGCTGGTAAGGAAGCAGGAGTGGATAAAATCAAGGAAGTTTCTAGGAACAGTTGATTTTTAACTAAGTCTTGAAGGAAAGTAGAAGCAAAGGATTTGGGACAAAGGAAGGATGCCTGGGTGGCTCAGGGTTGAGAGTCTGCCTTCGGCTCAGGGTCCTGAGATCGAGTCCTGTATCAGGCTCCTTGCAGGAAACCTGCTAATCCCTATGCCTATGTTTCTGCCTCTCTTTCCACATCTCTCATGAATAAATAAAATCTTAAAAAAAAAAAAAAAGGATATAGGACAAAGGAGAGGAGGCATCAGACAGAAGCAAGAGTGCCTAAAAAGCACAGAGCTGTGAGAGAACACAGGACATTAAAAAAACTGCAAATAATTTAGTAAGGCTGGAGCCAGGGATCACAGGGAGAAGACGGCCAGAGAGCCAGCTGTGGAGGAAGACAGTGCAGTCACAAGGAAATCATGTGTCACAACTGAGAGCTTTCCATTTGCCCAGGGTGGTTCAGTGCCCACTAGGTCAGGATGCCAGAGGCACAAGTAACCTACAGATTGGCAAAAACTAGTTGGGTTTTGTTTTGTTGTTTGTTTGGTTGGTTTTTTTCCTGTATCTTCAAAAAGTTCTCCATGGCCTTAGTAAGGCTGTTGTCCTGTACTGGGTAGTTACTGGGTCTCAGTCCTGGGTCAGCTGGAGATATATAAGATGATGTTCTGCAGACCTCCTGAGAGGTGGTCAGAACCAGCCTAGGCCATGGCATCAGCGGCAGCATCACACTTTCCAGAAAAAGCGAGCTCCCAGGGGGCAGGCCAGGGAGGTTCTCGCATACAGACAACCACAGACAACACTACGCTGAGCACACTCTGGCAGGTGTGACATTCTATCCTGACAAAAGTGCAAGCAGCTGCCAGTGTGTCAGCTTCCTGGACAATGTTCCCTATATCCTTCCCAAAAGGACTCGACCACAGTTACCTACCAAAATAGGACTCAAAGCTGGTTGGGGGAAAAAAAATCACCTGAGAGTGTATAAAGATTTGCTTCATTAAAGTGAACTGGGCGTGTACTACCAGTGCAGCTGAGTGGCAGCTTACTGGAACAGCCGTTCTGACTTTGCCCATGAAGTGACAAAAGGCTGTGCCCATGCTGATCGTAGCCCTTCTGTGCCTTGGGTCTCTGTCCCCCAGCAGGAATTAATGTTTCCCACCTGCCTACTTTACAGGCAAATGGCCCACACAACTGCTCAGGTAATGATTTTTAGTCAACTAAAAAGAAGGTGAAAAAAAATCATTGGTTGAGTGTGAGGCCACGATGTATGTGATGCTGGACCAAACTCAGATGTCCCTGTTTGATCAGTCAAGAAGGAGGAGGCTTTCTCAAGTAACTGACAAGTGCTCATAAAACTAGGTAACCAGAGGAAGAAGTAAAGATTTCTTTTGTGTGTGGTGGGCGGGGAGGGGGGTGTTTATTCTCAAGGGCACTGTTAAACAGCCAAGGCCTGCTACTTGATACATCTGTGTTTGTGTAGTTCCTCAGCAGGTTGAATCCTTATTGTTCCGCAGGACCCAAGCTTTCCACCTGTAATCTCCTTTCTCAAAGCTTTCATTTTTTTCCCCACTCCAGAAACTCCTCAACCTTACCTCTCCTCCAGAAAATAGTCAAAGGACAATGTATCAGGAGAAATCAGAGAAAGATCAGATCAATCAACACTTATCATTTAACAACATACAAATATAATTCATATCTATGTGTCCACATTGTGTGGCTCTTCTGGTTTTTGAAAGCATGGTCCTGGAACTTCCTCTTTGGTGCATGTGGGCACTTGAGTGAGATCATCTTGATGTGTAAATATGGTCTCCAGCATACTTGGTCTTACAGAAAAGTCACCTCCTATTGCTTCACATGACTTGAACCATTCAAAGCAATGCTAAGGCCTGAATTTAGACAAAATTACTAGAGGTTTAGCCCTTTTTCATTTAAGGTTGTTGACGGTTATTATGTGAATAAATTATCAGAGGTAAAAGCAACATTTCAGGAATCTTAAAGCAAAAACTAAAAGCTGATATTCTCGTTCATACTAAAATCTTTGAATGTGGTTTTATTCTGTTTCTGCTACAAATAAAAGCTAAGATATCATTATCCAAGCAAGTTGGTACCAGGGTAAATACTTCCAGAGTACAAATTACATTAGAGCTTTGACAATTTTCTTAAATACTAAAAGATGAGTTTTGCGTTAGTTTCTGTGGCTAGAAAGAACTTGTCAGCTCATGTCAACATGTCCGGTTATGCAAAAATGAGATGATAATGTCTTAAGAAACGTTAGCTGCTCTAGTAGCAGTGAAGTCAACTCTAAACACACACAGACCCACTTCCGAAAACATAAGCAAAAATACAGTGGAGGATATTTTGCTGTGGAAGAACATGCTGTTTTACATATGCTAGAATAGTAGCAGAGTTATCAATATTGCATTACAGAGACAAAACTGGGATAGACTCCTTTGCTTAATAACAAAAATGGCAAGAGAACTGGCATAGGTGGCTGCCAGGAAGGCTGTAGGTACTTCACTGTCAAGAGGTAAGGGGTTTCCTCAGATAGGACCTGAATACAGCCCCACACTTCATGCAGCCCAGTTACTAATTGTGCTCTTGGGGCAAAGTCTCAATCCTCATTCATGTCCCTCAGAGAGGGGGGTATTAAGGCCAGTTTAGTGACCACATACACCTTTCCATTAGAAAGCGTTATGAGGAAATTATAATTATTATAGATAAAAGTATTCCAAGGAAAAAAGTGCTAAACACTTCTTTGTGCTGTTCTCTAGGCAGTAAAATGATAAGACACAATACTTCCAAGTACAATACAGTATATCTATACTACTAACATGTCAGAAGCTGTTGTCTGGCTGGCTCAGGCGGTAGAGCATGTGACTCTTGATCTGGGGATCATCAGTTCAAGCCCCCCGCTGAGTGCAGAGTTTACTTAAAAAAAAAAAAATTGGGATCCCTGAGTGGCTCAGTGGTTTAGTGCCTGCCTTCAACCCAGGGCATGACCCTGGAGTCCCGGGATTAAGTCCCACGTCGGGCTCCCTGTGTGGAGCCTGCTTCTCCCTCTGCCTGTGTCTCTGCCTCTCTCTCTCTCTCTCTCTCTGTGTGTCTCTCATGAATAAATAAATAAAATCTTAAAAAAAAAAAGATTAACTTATTTTTAAAATATTTAAAATGTACTTAAAAAATAAACAGATAAAGGAAGAAAAGGAGAAAGGGAGGTAGGAAGAAGTTAGTTATACCTGAAAAAAAAGATTAAAAGAGCAGTTTGCAATCCAAAGGTTGCTAAGGAGTACTGTAATCCAAAGAGCAAGCAGAACCCTGGTAGGTGTGAGAAGGAGCCACTGGAAGAGTGAGATAATGTCTCTTTAGATGGCAGCACATTCCCAACATCATACATACATCCATCAGTTTCAGGCTTTCCCATACTGAAAGATCTCCTCTCGGCATTTCCAGGACCTAGCATATGACAACACTAAAAGCAATTTTTGCTGAATAAAAGAATGGAGTAAGTCAAGGTTCAGGAAAGTAATATCAAATGGATTAGAGGAAGGTATAAAATAATACCTCTGAGGGAAGATGTTAATAAACTAAGATTCATTCATCTGAGAATGTAATAACAATGGTCAAGCACATGAAAGCATCTTCCTCTCAATTTGGAAAATATAAAATTGACTAAAACTAGAGCATCAATAGCTTAGGACAATCAAGAACTAAGGTAATATGCTAGTGTCACTAACAAAATCAACTTTCAAGAGGTTATCAAACATCCAAATGACCAGATTTGAAGACTGCCTTGGTTCATCTTTACCAAAGATCATTTCTGAGCCATCCTATTTACATGTCCACATTGTGCAGGTGTCTCTCTGATTGACTCAGCGCGAAGGTGTGCAGTAAGAAGCGCATCAAGAGTCTTTCCCTCAGGGTTCTACGCTATCCCAGAAGTGGGAACTCCACCGTCCTCAGAAGAATCATTCCCCTGCTCTGGAGCGGCTGGGCCACATTGTTCCCGGGCTGTTTATTTACAGGTAAGAATGGTTCTTAAAGCCTGGATGACTTTGAAACCACAGGCTCTTAGTTCTATGAGCTGCCCCTGCCAAGCAAGGACGGGACAGAGTAGGAGACCCAAAGCCTGGTTGCCACGGAGAAGCATCCAGCATGACCTTTTAACTTGTATGACACGCAGTTTTCTCACATGGCAAGTAGGTAGGTGAGAGCAGTACTTAGCCCACAGGCTTACTGTGAGAGTGCTTCCAGATAGGGCTTCAAGGTAGGCGCCTAATAAAAATTCATGCATCGACCCAAGTAAAGTGCACTGAAGGACCACCTCTGAAATGCATTGCAGATGATAAGGTTTTTGTAAGAAGAACTGACCTAAAGAATTTTTTTTCTTAGATTAAGCTATTTATCTAGTTCCTCATTTCATAGGCAATTCATGTTCAGTATTAGAAATTTAAAGGTATATGGACAAAACTCAAAAATGACTTGTACAAAATTATGTTTTGGCATACATATCCATACAGGTGTGTATGTATGTGTATAATTGCTTTTCCTTCCCCTGAAGTGATATGTTGTGTAATCTGCTTTCCTTACTTAACATATGTCTCTGCCCAGTAACAGGCACCCACACTGCCACTTCCAGTGACAGCAGAGTATTTCACTGTATAGCTATCTCATAAGGTATTAACCAATCCCCTGATGATGGACATTTGATTTGTTTGTAAATTTTCATCTTTATAATTAACATGTTAAATATTCTTGAAAATCAAACGTTCTGCAACCCCTGCCATTTCTGGCTCTAATGGGTGCCATACTTCATTCAGTAAGAAGTTGGATACATATTTACAACATGGCAACAATGCACGTTCTTCTCTGAGTCTCACATTAACATAACTTTTCTAATCTCTGCAATAATATTTATTCATATGGAGAATTTCTATCCCAGCATGTATTTCAAAAGTATTTCCCGAATCTACCAAGAAATATTCCTCAAAATAAAACAAACATGTTGAGATTTTCAGAAAAAAATTTTCACAGAAAGTACAAAAATAAAAGTTCTTGCTACCTGTTCCTTAAGTTACAGCCCCTGTCTGGGATTTTCACATCTTTGTGTCTAGTCTCAGTTCTTGAAAAGTTACTTCTCACATAAAGCCTTTCCCAACTAAGTGGATAAAGGTTTTTCTACTTTCATTCCACAACTGCAATTTCCATGATTCAAGAAACATTTTTTTTTCTGCACAAAATAGAAAGTCCATTTTTGTTGGGTTTTTGTTTTGTTTTCAAATTTATTAATTTCTGTAATTGTCATTTTCTTCTACTTTCCTCGGGCAAACAATTCTCTTCTAGCTTCCTGAACTGTATGTTTATCTATTTTCAATCTTTTTTAAAAAATGCTTTCACAAGCACACAGAATTGAGTCACTGCGCTGTACACTTGAAACAAATGTAACGTGTTAACTAGCTCAAATAAAAATTATTTCAAAATAAAAATCTGCAAATAAATGCATTCAGGGCTCTCCATTACTTCTAAGATTAACACTTCATCTGAATCCCACAGTTAGGCATAAAGTATTTTAGTCATTTTGTTAAGTACTTCAAAATTCCCACTCTCATTTCTTAACCCATGAGTGCTTAGAAACATATTTTTTTTATTCCAAATTTATCCTTTATTTTTTTATCATTCATTTCTAATTTAGTTGCCCTGTAGTCTCTGGTATGTAAGCTGCTAAATTAACAGTTTTCTGAAAGTTCTGAGTCCCTCTGATGACCTCGTACATAGTCAAATTTGCAAAATGCTCATGTACCTTCAGCACAAATTCTATAACGTCACATTGGGTAGATTTAAGTCTCTAATCTCTTTTTTTTCTGGCATAGTCCAATAAAGATGTGCTAAAATCTCCCACTATGGTTGTGAATTTGCTAATTTCTCCTTTAAATTTTGCTGTTACATGCACAATTTAAGATTATTTTTGTTTTTTGTGAACTGTTCTTTTTACCTTCTATAGTAACCCTCTTCATCCCTATTAATATTCAATTTGCCTTAAAGTATGTTTTTTTTTTATTTAGTATTGCTACTCCAGCTTTTCACTGACAGATTTGCCTGACACACGTTTTCCCGTGTTTTTATTTTCAACCTTTCTGAGTCATTTTTTGAGTTGTATCTCTTCTAAGCAGCATACAGCTGGATTTTTCTTTTTTACAAATCCAAACTGACAGTTCTTTTAATAGGTGAGTTCAATCCATTTAAATTTCTTTCTCATTATCAAGAAAGAAATTATCTTTCTTGATTAACAGAATGTACTACTTCCATTTTTGTTCCCTTTTGCTTTAGGTCGTATTTCCATATTTTAACAGTTAACCTATGTATGTGATGCACACCTATAATATTATAACATTATTCTCTGATAAGCCCCACTGTGTGTTAGTTTCACTGTGTAAGATTGTTAGAACTAGAGGCACCCGGGGTGGCTCAGCAGTTTAGCACCGCCTTCGGCCCACGGCTTGATCCTGGAGACCCAGAATCGAGTCCCACGTCAGGCTCTCTGCATGGAGCCTGCTTCTCCCTCTGCCTGTGTCTCTGCCTCTCTCTCTCTCTCTCTCTCGCTCTCTGAGTCTCTCATGAATAAACAAAAATCTTTAAAAAAAAATAGATTGTTAGAACTAAGCAATCAGAGGAGCAGTTGGTGCTTTGATATGGCTAGGGATAGAGTCTTTCTCTTTTAATATAAACATCATCACTAGATATATTGAAATTTTCCCTAATTTTGCTGAGTTTCAGATGAGATTTGTGCACAGAAACTGTCCTATCAGAATATTTTTCTTCTAAAAATAATTTCACAGAATTTATTGTTCTGCTCTTCCTAAGTTTTATCAAAGTTCAGCCCCATATAAGGAGTTTTATTGTAGTTTCCCACTTTTCGATGTAGGACTTGAAATTTCATCTTAACATTATTTACCACAAGAAAAGAATTGGAAATAATTCATCAAGGGAGTAGCTAAGCAGATTATGCATTAACACACTGGAATACTGTAGAAATATCCAATGTCTACATGAGATCTATATATGACAGATATATAGATTATACTGGTCCATGACCACATTAAGTGGATAAAGCAGAACACAAGACACATGTGTAATGCTTACTAGCATGCAAAATACAGGAATGTACACCGCATGCATCAGTGGGGTACTTGGGAAATGATCTAGTTCAGAATTAATCTTAACCTTTCCCCCTGAAACAGCTTAAGTTTTTTCTTTCTCTTTCGTCGTTTTTGTCGTGGTTGTCGTGGTTACCATCTTCTTCTTTTTTAAAAGAAAACCTAACTTTCAGTTCCTAACAAGGCCTTAGCTTGTTTCTCATACTTTTTAGGTTAACACAAATCAGATCATTGTGGTAAATTCATATTTCACTAAATAAATGTAACTGATTTCATTTCCTGGCAGTGATATGCATTTGCCCCCCCCCCCAAAAAAAAACAAAAAGTCCAACTGAAATTCAATTTAAAAGCAGAATTTTACTCTCCTCAGAAATGTGGGTGCTGCACATGATTTTGTTCTTAACCAGACAGTGAATCAGGGAAAAAAGGGGATATTTCTGCCTAAAAAGTTAGTGCATCCCCTCTTCCCACAAAAATATATTTGCTCTATTTAGATGGTTATATTTCCTTTGCCAGAGCTTTGCCAAAATCACCAAATTGTGAGTAAAAACATAAATTTTATTCTTTGATCTTTTATTATATAGGTAAACATACTACATATCACAGATTTTTTTTCCTTTTGAGGGTACTTCTTAATAATCCCCTTTATCTATTTCACTTATACTCCCCACCTACTTCTCTGGTTAACTACCAGTTTATTGTCTGTATTTATGGGTCTGTTTCTGCTTTTTTGTCTTGCATTTCAGACTCCACATATAAGAGAAATCATCTGGTACTTATCTTTGACTTATTTCACTTAGCATAATCCCCTCTAGAACTACCCATGCTGTTGCAAATGACAAGATCTCATTCTTTTTTTATGGCTGAGGAATATTCCAGTGTGTGTGTGTATGAATAGTATCTATTCACCTATCAGTGGACACCTGGGTTGTTTCCGTATCTTGGCTATTGTAAATAGTGCTAAAATAAACACAGAGGTACATATATCTTTTTGAATTCATATTTTCATTTTCTTTGGGTAAATACATGATAGTGGAATTACTGAATTGTGTGGTATTTCTATTTTTCTTTTTTTTGAGGAACCTCCATCCTGTTTTCCAGAGTGGCTGCACCAGTTTGCATTCCCATTAACAGTGCACAGGGGTTCCCTTTCTTCTGCATCCTCACCAACACTTGTCTTTTGGATACTAGCATTCTGACCAGTGTGAGGTGATACCTCACTGTGGTTTTCATTTGCATGTTCCTGATAATTAGTGAGATGAAGTATCTTTTCATGTGTCTGTTGGCCATTTGTATGTCTTTTTTTTTTAAGATTTTATTTATTTATTCATGATAGACATAGAGAGAGAGAGAAAGAGAGGCAGAGACACAGGCAGAGGGAGAAGCAGGCTCCACACCGGGAGCCCGACGCAGGACTCGATCCCGCGACCCCAGAATCGCGTCCTGGACCAAAGGCAGGCGCCAAACAGCCGAGCCACCCAGGAATCCCCCATTTGTATGTCTTCTTTGGCAAAATATTTATTCAGGTCCTCTACTCATTTTTAATCAGATTATTTTTGTTTTGAGTCAGAGAAGTTTTTTTATATATTTTGGATATTGACCTCTTATTAGATATATCATTTGCAAATATCTTCTCCCATTCACTAGGTTGCCTTTAAAGGTTTTGCTGATGGTTTCCTTTACTGTGCAACACATCACAAGATTTTTAAAAATTATATAAATCTTGGGATCCCTGGGTGGCGCAGCGGTTTGGCGCCTGCCTTTGACCCAAGGCGTGATCCTGGAGACCTGGGATCGAATCCCACGTCGGGCTCCCGGTGCCTGGAGCCTGCTTCTGTCTCTGCCTCTCTCTCTCTCTCTCTGTGACTATCATACATTAATAATAAAAAAAATTATATAAATCTTAAAATTTTAGATGTTAGATCTATAAAAGGGAGTTTACATTGTTTTTAACTAAATATGCTTTTAATCAAAAGTACCCTTCTTGGTTCTTCCTAGAGATTCTGCACACCATTAACGGATACAAAAATGGACAATTTTACTACACCCTCTGCAGCTACTCAGGGAAGTGACTGTGATCTCTATGCACACTACAACACAGCCAGGATACTAATGCCTCTGCATTACAGCATTGTCTTCATAATTGGGCTTGTAGGAAACGTGCTAGCCTTGGTGGTTATTATTCAAAACAGGAAAAAAATCAACTCTACCACTCTATATTCAACAAATTTGGTGATTTCTGATATACTTTTTACCACTGCCTTGCCTACACGGATAGCCTACTATGCACTGGGCTTTGACTGGAGAATCGGCGAGGCCTTGTGTAGGATAACTGCTCTTGTGTTTTACATCAATACATACGCAGGTGTGAACTTCATGACCTGCTTGAGCATTGACCGGTTCTTTGCTGTGGTGCACCCTCTACGGTACAACAAGATGAAAAGAATTGAACATGCAAAAGGCATTTGCATATTTGTCTGGATTCTAGTATTTGCTCAAACACTCCCACTACTCATAAAACCTATGTCAAAGCAGGAGGAAGAAAGGACTACATGCATGGAATATCCAAACTTTGAAGAAACAAAATCTCTTCCGTGGATTCTGCTTGGTGCATGTTTCATAGGATATGTGCTTCCTCTTCTAATCATTCTTGTCTGTTACTCTCAAATCTGTTGCAAACTCTTTAAAACTGCCAAACAAAACCCACTGACTGAGAAATCTGGTGTAAACAAAAAGGCTCTCAACACAATTATTTTTATAATTGTTGTGTTTGTTCTCTGTTTCACACCTTACCATGTTGCAATTATTCAACACATGATTAAGAAGCTTCATTTTCCTGATCTCCTGGAATGCAGCCAAAGACATTCATTCCAGATCTCTCTGCACTTTACAGTATGTCTGATGAATTTCAATTGCTGCATGGACCCTTTTATATATTTCTTTGCATGTAAAGGGTACAAGAGAAAGGTTATGAAGATGCTGAAGCGTCAGGTCAGTGTGTCAATTTCCAGTGCTGTGAGGTCAGCCCCTGAAGAAAACTCACGTGAAATGACGGAAACTCAAACAATGATACATTCCAAGTCTTTAAACGGAAAATAAAAAGGAATTAAATCTTGGATTTATAGCAAAGTAGACTGTATGATGAACTTTGCCAGACTTTTTTTATAAAGCAAAATGATTGTTTAACTTCCAAATAGGATTCATGTAAATTCCTTTCATTGGGCATGAGCTCCCATCTCCGACTTGGAAGTAAACTGATACATATTATTTTTTACACTCAAGAAAACAACATAAAGCAAAGTTCTAATTTGTAAATGAAATACTATACCAAAAGGGAGGCTAACTCTCAGTGTAAAAAGTTTTGTGTTAATAAAAAATTTAAGCATCAGTATTTCCTGCCAATCATTTGGCAAAAGAAGACTGTAAAAATGTATATTGCCCATGTAAAAATGTCAATATTGTAACATGTTTCTTTCTTTACGGTAACATATTATTTTGATCCATACTTCTTTCAATCTTAGACTTTCAATAATATTGGTGTTTTGTTTTGTTTTGTTCTGAGTTATAAAATTTTGTTTCAAAGAACTCTTTTGGAATAAAGAGCAGGATACTACAAAATTAAGAGTATGTCTTTCAATGCCTACTTATAGGTAGAACAGAATTAGCAATAGATAGATTTGGATGCCAATGTTTTAAGTAATGATGATGACAGAGTCAATGAAAACACTGAGCTCTTTTCCAAGCAGCCAACAGAGTAGTTAGGGCCCACAGGTCAGGCACATGACAAAGATTTTATGTGGAGGTACCCACTGGGAGGAGGGTCCACTTGCTGAATTCTGCTTAGGAATAAAATAATTTGCAAATATGCTTGGTTTTTCTTGGGTACCTAGGGGATCATTTCTTTTTTATTCATAGGTTAGTAGTACCCTGATCTGTATTTCAATGGGCTGGGTTACCAGAAAGGGCAAAGGGCATAAGCAGCAGAAGGCATAGTTGCCACTTGCTTAAATAAGGTAGGGGACAGGGATCCCTGGATGGTTCAGCAGTTTAGCTCCTGCTTTTGGCCCAGGGTGTGATCCTGGAGACCCGGGATCAAGTCCCACGTCAGGCTCCCTGCATGGAGCCTGCTTTTCCCTCTGCCTGTGTCTCTGCCTCTCTCTCTCTCTCTGTCTTTCATAAATGAATAAATAAACGAAATCTTTAAAAAGGAAAAAAAGATAGGGGACAAAATGCACAATTATAAACTTAGAGTTGCCAAGATTCTCTCCAACATTATATATATATTTGCTCACATAAATACCTCAGCATGAATTGTATGACCTTTGCAAGTATAGTCACCCTAGTCTGTCAGCTCAATTTTGTTTTACTAAGTCCTCAAATTACTTCAATATAGTATCTATTTTAGCAGTAATACCGATTTTGATGACAGAACATAAAGAAATGACACACTGGGGTGGCCCCGGTGGCGCAGCGGTTTGGCGCCGTCTGCAGCCCAGGGTGTGATCCTGGAGACCCGGGATCGAGTTCCACGTCGGGTTCCCTGCATGGAGTCTGCTTCTCCCTCTGCCTGTGTCTCTGCCTCTCTCTCTCTGTGTCTCAATGAATAAATAAAATATTAAAAAAAAAAAAGAAAGAAAGAAATGACACACTGTATCATGAGTCGTACTTCACATTTTTCTTAGGCTTTATATCCTAGAAATCTTTTCTTTCAAAATCTTATCTTACTCATTTCAAACTTTTACCTTGTAAGAAAATTCATCTTTATGGTTGAGTCAATACTATTTACTGAGTACTTTAAGATTTGTATTATGTGTATTTCACAAAGAGCTACCTGACCTTGAAGACACTGACCAAAAAAAGGCATTGATCTTTTTAACACCTGATGGAGACAGGTTGAAACTACATGGAGGGAAGTCAAGATCTTAGGACCTTTCCTTCCCTCCACATATAAACTCCGCAAGTAAAGGAGAAGAAAGGGCAGACAACTACATACATTCTATACAGGGCAGGGTGGAACTTACATAGTCATTTGAATTGGATCCCAAAAGAAAAATTGTAATGAAAGCTACTGAAGGAAAATCAAAAATAGAGCCACCATAATTTCAGAGCATCTCTATGGTGCACAAGTTCGATGATGACACTGGAGCAGAGACCAGCTTACATGTGAGCCAACATGCTGCTTCACAGCAGATGAGAAAGTCCTCTCTGTGCTAAGGATCTTAAGATGTTTCAAACAAGAAAGTAAATATCTATGTTACTTGGCAAATGGGTAACACATTATTTTTATCTGTTTAGTTTTCTGCCTTCTACCTCCATTCTAACACAAACCTATATAAATGATTTTTTCCAATCAGTAGCCATATTACCAAAAAGGTAAACTTTAAACTTATCTCCAACTAATTAAAAAAAAAAAAAGTCTGTACTCCAGTCAAATCCAGCCATTCACTCTCCTTCAAAAGGCCCTTATTGCCTATTTCATTCATGAAGCCATAGTTTGTTTATATCTGGCCTTTGGGCACCCTTACACTATCTGGGATTATTAGTTGGCTTTACATTTTTTTCCCTCATGGAATATGTAAACCTGGAAAAAAGGGACAGTTGTCATAAAATCTTTGTATTCTGGAGCAGCCCGGGTGGCTCAGAGGTTTAGCACTGCCTTTGGCCCAGGGCCTGATCCTGGAGACCAGGGATAGAGTCCCACATCGGGCTCCCTGCATGGAGCCTACTTCTCCCTCTGCCTGTGTCTCTGCCCCCCTCCTCTCTCTCATGAATAAATAAATAAATAAAATCTTTTTAAAAAAATCTTTGTATTCTGTTACAAAGAGGTGGCCTTATATAAAACACACTCTTTGAAAAACACAATCCTGTAAAAGTATTTTCTATATGAATCAGGTGATACATTATTAATAATTTTAAATAATAATCGTGAGCTAGAAAAACTTACCTAGGAAAGCTGACAGTTATATAGCAGCTAATCATATCTACCTCTTCATAATTTGTCTTCTAAAAGGATATTTGATTAAAAAAAAAAAACCTCAAAGCTATTTAGCTTGAATCAACTCTTCAACGATAGTATAGAAGAGTAATTTAGATGTTAGAAATCATATTAGGTATATGTGACAAGCTCAGTAATTTACAAAACAGTCCATACTTTATGTAATGTCTTCCTTTCCATATTCCTGTGAAACAGGATGAACACATAGTATCACCCATACTTTATTACGAAATCCAAAGTTCTGGGATGCCTGGGTGGCTGAACGGTTGGGTGTCTGCCTCGGGCTCAGGTCGTGATCCCGGAGACCTGGGACCGAGGCCTGCAAGGGCTCCCTGCATGGAGCCTGTTTCTCCCTCTGCCTGTGTCTCTCTGCCTCTCTTACGAATAAATAAAATCTATTTAAAAAAAACTTTTAAAAAAAAGAACAACACAACTCAAAGTTCCAAAGAGGGACCTGGTAAATTAGAGGCAACATTAAGTATATTACCCTAACTCTATTATCCTAGCCATAAAGTAGACAGAACTGTATCACAAAGACCTTGAAAAAGTATTATAAGGCTTAAACTGTTCCATTATGTGCCAGAAGACCATCTAATCTTTCAATGGGACAAGAAGCCAACAGTGGGTAGATTATAAACTTGGCTGAGCTATGAGTTCCATGAACACAAGGATGCCATTTTCTATGTATGTACCAGCACCTGGTACAGAGCCTGGCACACAAAAAGTTCTCAAATATCCATCTAACTGAATAGTGCCTGTTTTGTACTATTACTAACAAAAGTCTAAAGCCCTATACAATTATCTGTGAAGTTCTTCATTTCTCAATAGAGGATACACCTTAAATGCTTAATTACATTAGCCAAAGTATATACATATATGTGTGTGTATGTCTAGTGTGTGTATACATACATATACACACACACACAAACACACACACACTAGAGCATACATGTAATTGAAGACTGTGATCATCTAAGACCTTGCAATTTAAACTAGGCATATTTTAAAAACAGAGCTAATTACTCAACAAGTCAATTTAAATCTAGAATATGTTCTGCTTGGAAATGATTTTATATTTCAAGAGGCGAGGGCAGTGACTCCCACCAAACAGAAACATACTGGGCAATTTTAAATGGGGAAGCACTGATCTTAAAATGGTCTATTTTGGTCGCTCCTTAGCCCATTATGATTTGTTATTCTTTGCAAAGCTTAAAAACATGTCCTTACTGATTACTCAGGTCAGAATGAAAAAATGAAAACTTGATCTGGTGACAACATGGCGTATTCTTTGAATCCAGGGAGTACTAAACGCACTCATGTGAACTGCTGCCAATGCAAGTCTGTTTTACATTAAATTCTGAAAAAAAGATCGCTTAGAAGATAATCTCCAAATTTCTTTTAAAATAAAAGCTCAAAAAAAATAAAATAAATAAAATAAAAGCTCAATTAGCTAAGAAGGACATTTATTGACTGCTTCCTACATGACACTTTTCCAAGCACTTGACAGGCATTATTTCACTTAATCCTCATTGCCTTAAGAGATGGGGACAATTATTATCTCAATTTTGCCAATGAGGGACCTTGAGTGCCAGAGCACATGCAGAGGTGGAGCCAGGAATGAAATCCAGACCGTCGGACCCCAGTGCCTGGAGGCTGACTCAGAGTGCAAGGATGTCCCTGCTTACAAAAGCATGTTTATTAAGAGATGGCTCCATTCCCCCACCTCCTGTGCCTTCCTGTGGCCTGGGCATCCCCCACCAGAACATGCGAGCTTCCATGAAGCCTCCTTCCTGCAGGGTCCCCGAGTTCTCTACAATTCAAGCTTCAATCTCTCAGACACCCATACTCCATGGCCCTCCTCTCCAGTGACTGCCACCTGGGTGTTCTTTCTCCCCGTGCATGTTCCCTTGCCCATCTTTTCTTGACCCAACATTGTCATCCCAGTCCAGATGCTGACATTGCACACCTAAATTACTACAGCTTCTTTCCCCTGGCCCCTTAATTACTGTCAGAAACCAGCCTTCCTGTCAGATGTTATAGTGGAAGCCAGCAGAGCAATAACAACAACACATACTTGCTGACAGTAACATGGCATAATGCTTTGACCAATATACATACATACATATATATAATCTCTCTACAGAAGCACTAGATAGAATCTCATTCAAGCCTCATAATACTTCAGTGAGGTTCATCTCATTACTATCCCTATTTTACAGGCAAGGAAATTATACTCCAAGAAACTGAGTAACATGCCCAAGGTCACACAGCTCTAAATATTGGCAGTCCAAATCCAAGGTCTATCCATTAGTCTTAATCACTATAATATTTGTTTTATTCAAGTAGAATTATGGCCTATGTCCTCGGAGAGCCTTGAAAGAGACACTCACCAAGTAACTTCAAATTCCCTTAGGGGGTGTATGTGACTACTTTTGGCCAATGCAGCGGTGGCAAAAGTGACATATGTCACTTCTAGGCTGATGTGTTAGAGAGCAGAGCGAAATATTCTATTCCCCTCTTGCCTCCTATCACAGCAGCCAGAGCTGTTCTAGATGGTGGGAACCTTCGTCAG